TATTACTTTCTCCATTTGGGCTGTGTGGTTGCCCCTCAAGTAGGAGAATGGCCACTGGCACCGACCAATAATGTGGGGGGCAGGGGGATGGGATGGGGGGAGGATAACATTTACTGACACTGACCAGCAATGCAGGGTGGGGTTTATGTTGGTTAAAATTGTTCTTTATTTTAATTTAACCAGGTATTTTTTTCCTGTTTTTTTTTTTTGTACTACAAATAAAATATGTAGCAATATAGTAGTTATATAATCACAAATCCTCCAAGGAAAACTACATAGATTATTATTGGAGATATAAGAAATTTAGTAACTCTTCATAAAGACCTGAAATCACTTACACAAACTGCCAGTATATTTATCAAAGAAAGCACTGTTCTGGATTATAGGCAATTATGAAGTGCAATAATTATTTAACGTAAAGGGTAAAAAAAAAAACCCTAAAGAGAAAACAAACTACATAACAAAGAATACTTCAGAATGAACAGTAAAACAAAATGATTGAGAATAGAAATGGGCAGATTAACACCCATCAAATTTCTAGTCAAGCTACAGATTTCCTAAAATAATCCTAGTGTCTTCTTTATCCTGGGACTGCACACAAAAACTACAAACTATGAATTTAAAGGGGCATTTTTGTATTTGTGGCTCCATTCCCAAATGATACGCAAGCTTTTAAAGCATAATTTTTGTTGATTTTCAGTCTTACTAGCTCTTCTGCAAAAACAAAAATTTGTAAACCTCGTTCCACTGCAGCATTTTATGAAAATACTCACAATATACTCCAATATACAGTGAACCTGCAGGGCCCTCAAAATTGAGACTCAAGCTTTATATACTTACATATTTAAGGTGGTTACCTACTACATTCACATTTCATTTGAATCACTGTTGATCTTAACATTTTCTGAAATAAAGGTATTTTTCACATTTGTATTTCCCAAACAACATTTATTTTTAAAAAGCACGTTAAGATCATGCATATTTATATTGGTTATAAATATAAACAATTTATTTTGTTCACCATGTTGCCAAGTTAAACAATGCGGAAGTCATTTCCCTTTTATTATGTGGATCTCCAATGCTAGCTTCTAAGAATCTATTTATTCACATTTATTTCCATTTATGTAAGTGGTACCTCAGAGTCCAATTCCTTAAACCACATTTTTAAAATTGCCACTTTTTTCTTTTACACTGACCAACTTACATATCCATTGAGGCTATCTCTTCCCCTACCTAAATTCCAACTGCAAAAATGCAATTTACTATCATACTCCTAAAATTCAATCCCAACGACTTTGATTAAAGTACTACATTGAAGCTCTGTAATGCGCTATATTAGGAGCATACAACTCTTCAGGCTGAGAGAAGCATTTGACTATTGAGTAGCATGTGGAGGCAGCATTCCAAAAGTTGGCACTGTGAGGACAAATAAAATTTATTTCACGTTAATGTATTGTTTAGTACAGTCGCACATCATTTTAAGTTCATTTAAATGTCAATTATAAGGAAAGTAATAGAGGAAATTTGAAGTAATGTGATTACTCCACCTAAGAATTTACAGTTCAGTGGCATCTTTGGGACAGGCTCTGGAGCCAAAACAAAAAATGTGTGGCTGTGGTTATACAACCCTGCTTTAAATAAAACTTGCTATTACATGCCTTATTATACTACTATATACTTGAACAGCACATTTCAGCAAACTGCAATTTGGAGTTTAGATGTGCATAACATGCGGTTCAAGAGGAATATGATGTCATTTACAGTGCATTCACAAAGTATTCAGACCACTTTTTTCATTTTTGTTATGTTGCAGCCTGATACTACAATCGTTCAAATTCATTTTTTTTTCTCATTAATCTACACTCAGTACC